ACCGCTTATAAGGTGTAGTAAGGAGATTAAGGTTAGATTAAAGCTTTAGACATTCAAAAAGGTTCAGACTCAGGATCCTTTAAACACAATTTAAATACCTTTTAGTTTTAACACAATAACAAAAACTGCTAGACTGAAAACGGCTAAAATGGGGGATTTTTGAGTCATTGTTGCTTATTAGAGACAAGTAAGGCTTTTAATGTTATAAGTACTTTAGTGTTCAAACATACAATATAGAATTGATGTAAGAAGTACCAGAAAGAAAAGCCGTAAAGAAGAAGATAACGGACTAGTGGAACAATTTTTATTAATTCTATCAATTTCGCAATACATTTTTTAAATATTAAATGAATGGATACATTTAATGTGTTTTCACAGGATACGGCATTGTTCCATTCTGTCGTGGTATGAGCTGTTTTTTTAAAAGAAATGTTTAAAGGGGCACTACCATCAAACTTTTACTTGTCGTCTTCTCGAAGTTGCCCTCCCACCTCTCCCCTTGTATTAAATTGATTATCAACTGGTTGACCCTCTTTATTACAGGCCTTACGGCACACTGCAACCGACTTTGCTTACACAATCATTTTCTTGTTCATAAAATATATATATTCTACGCAGCTTAAGTTCCCGTACACAAATATGCAAATTACCGAGGTTTGCTATTCAGGTAGTACACAAAACAGTTACAACCCACAGGTGGCACTGCACATATCTGTGGCACAATCTTCACAACCAACAGATGGCGCTATACAGGCTCCACAGTAAAATCCACCTAGCTGGACAGCAGGACAGGAGAGCACACAAAGCAATTAACAATAAATACATAATACACAACCTGCACCTATAACAGGGTGACTTAAACATAAGAGCTATCCGGGGACCAAATGAAGTGTTTGTCTTATTTTTCTGGTGGTGGTGACTGCCGTCACGAGTACATTGTTGGCAGACAGTGCCTGGATGATTTACAAGAGGATGTGAAAGTGTAGACACAGGGGAGCAGGCATCCTCTTACTTGGCCAAAAAAACTGTCTGCTAGCTGCTCTTAAACTGCCTGTAATTGTAGATTCAGAGGCACAGCTTAATATAATATATATATGTAAATGTAGTTGTTTCCCATGTGTTAAGTTACCATAGGCATATGTATATATTTACATC